CAGAGAATTATGCCATGCAAAATAATAATAGCAGACAACAATACTAATGAATAGTAATAGTACTACTACTACTACTACTAATAACAATAATATAATTCTACTTTATAATTTAGAAGGTCTACTAGTGCTGCTGCTACTAATAATAATAATAACAATTTATAATCCAGAAGGTGAATTTTCTAACATTGAAATAATTACGAAAACTACTCTTAAGATCTGATCAATCTACACAAACACCAATTATCATACAACTTTGTAGTTTTATGGACGCACGCAAGGGAGTATTTAAAATTTCAAAAGATTGTTGAAATTTTTTCATAGTTAGAATAAAGCTCAAGGGAAGTTCTGTATGGATGGAAGCCACATAGCAATATGGTTCCATAACAGAGGCCATCTAGTTTTATAGTATACTTCTTGTAAGTAACCCATGAACTTATGATGGACTTACTTGATCCAAGATGTATCTGACAGCAACTGTGGGAATTGAGACCAAATGTTTCGAAGCAACTTTTTTGAGAGTCTGAAGCAAAACTTGGAAAAGAGACCATCCTCCCCAAGCATCAACCATCTACATTTTTTTATTTAAAACATACAACGTTAATTAGCAACCATATATATAACAGTTCAATTTTGCTTCAAAACAAGAATCTTTAAGGCACTACCAGTGGAGCACGCTGAAAAGCCAAAAAATTCAGAAATCAATATTGTAAACACAGCTATGAGTAGAAAATATAACTCCCTGATTAAATACGAGAAAGGACCATGCTTTTTTGCAGTATAATATCATGCTACTGACGCATAGAGTAGTTTACATATAATGGAAATTCAGAAAATAGTGAAAAGTAGACATTGCTTGTGGTTTTATGCTCTGTCCAATATGGAGCCTTACCCTTTTGTACTTCTGCAGTGAAGGTGTATTTAGTGGAGGGCCAGCAAAAGGGATCGTTAAATTGGTATCAAGAAACTTTTCTGATAATAGTCCACCCATCACAGTTCCATACCTGTGGACAAAGTCTTGTGAGGCATATATAAGGTGTGTGTGTGTGTGTGCATGTGTATGAGAGAGAGAGAGAGAGAGAGAGAGAGAGTGACTGACGTTATGAGTTTAACTCCTTTGAGCTCACAAAGCTTCGCCATGCTCTGTTGGGGACGCATGTCGACTATTGAATGTTGCACCTGAAACATAAAGAAATTTAGGAGCACAACTAAACTAGAACTGAACCTAAAACAATCAACGGAATTTTCTTACCTGATTGCTAACAACTGGAATCCCATTGTCAAGAATCTTTTCCAACCTCTCCGTGTCAAAGTTAGTCAAGGCAACTGTCTTAATCTTGCCTGTATGTCAAATGCTGAATCCAGTTTGATCAAGATATTTGGATTTCATTGGCAAACAAATGGATGCGTACAAACCTTCTTCCTTCAAGTCCGTTAGGTGTTTAAGGGCATCAAGGTAACCAGGATTAGAATAGTCCCACCTGGTTGATACATGATTATAAAGTTCAGCACTAAGGGCGTGATTGTTTATATTTTCTACAGTAAATATCTCACTCAAAACTCAAATTTAACTCAACTTTAACTCAACTCCATTATCTCCAATATTATCAATATAATTAAATAATATCAAACAATCATTATTACACATCACATCAACTTTAATTCACTATTCACACACTCACATAATTTTAACTAACCATCACTTCCAATCATTTTCTCCTACTTTTACATCAAATCAACTTTAATTATTTTAATTTAAATATTATTTTAATATATCCACTAACAACTAACCATATTACTTTTTTTTTACTAGTTGAATTCATATCCAATCACCCCCTAAATAATAGTTTATCTGTGAAACCTCAGAAAATGNAAAAAAAAAAAAAAAAAAAAAAAAAGGTTCATTTGTAAACCCAAAAATTGAAAGTATAAGTTTCATCACAGCCATAATAGGTCTAACAGGCTCGACAAAAGTTTGAAAGTCGTATTATTACACGCCTAGCAAACCAAAATCTATGTAATTCTATAATATCCACCTTCAGAATGGGATACAATTTTTTTTGTAAATTATTATTCAAACTGACAATGCTCCTTGTAAATTTTGATTGGTTCCATTTTTCAGTTTTTATTTACCATACAATAACAAACAATGCCAAAAACTTTTCAACCACATATTTATCTAATTGCAATCGAGATACTTTCTCTATTTGAAAATTTAGAGAGAGGGAAATGTATGAAGCAGTTACCAATGAAACTGAAGCATGTCTAAAGCAGCAACATCCATTCTCTTCCGAGAAACATTAATGCTCTCGCGGACAAAGCTGCTAGTCATCTTCACTGGTGGAGGAACCCATTTAGTAAGCCTACATTGCATAAGGAATAAAATCACACCATAATTAGCTGTCATAGAAAACATTCCACAATTTCATTCTTAATACCGAAACAACTGGATGTTACGCACGTACCCCCTGACATTTTCAAGATACTCGGGAGGGCGCTCTCTACGCACCCTATTTATGAAGATACCATAAAGATCTTCCGCAGGTCCATCTATCAACCAAAATATTACCAAATAATAGAAAACATGAAGACGTAGGTTTTCACGAATCATGCTTTGAGGTACATCATCCTATATAAAGACCAGCTCCACCCATTAACCAAATGTATTCTTATACATATTAGCCCTTACTAAGAAAGAAAGAAAAGTGAAGAAAAGAAGAGAGTATGAAAGAAGCACAAAATAGTTTTGAAATTTCAAATACCATTTAAAGTATCACAAACACACTCCTTAAAGTTTGTACTTATCCAACAAGTACCAATAATAGAACTTGTAATATGAAAACAAAAAATGATTACTCCTTACTGCTTTAACACAAGTTTCTGAGAGTTAGGCGCATAAATGAAGATAATCAAGAATGTCGCTAAATCATTGTCCTAGAGGAGGTGTTTACATATATCAGCCAAATCAAAAGTATTAAGCCCAGCATCAGAATATTGAAGCATGGCTTGGACTGCATTGTCTCGCTCGATCCTACCCCAACCGCCACTCGTCTGCCACATCCCATTAACAACTCTGCAAATGTCGAGCGAGTCTTTTCCGCTCTTCACTTCAATTCTCTGCTTATCATTAGGTAGCGAGCACACGAATGGCCTTGTGACCACTTTGTTCATCTCATATACTCTACCGTACTTAGAACTTTTCTCGATTGATTTAAGGGTTAACGAATTCCACGAGGTTTTTAAAATTTCTGCCATTGGCAGGCAGAGAGTAGAGAGCCTAAAGGTTCTGCAACTGGCTTTATTTTATCCTATCTGTTTGTATGTTCACTCCCCAACCTTAAATTTATCTTGCCATATATTTTATGTTATTGCAAACTGTCCGTTTTGCCCCTGATATTTAAATTCTTGAATTAATGACTTTACTAGACAATTTGTTTTCCTCAGATAATAAAGTACAAATATCTACTTAAGCCGTTGCTATTTGCTAATGCACAGGGTTAAGTTTCATAATTAACACAAGTACAATGGTTTTTTGGTACTAAATACTACTTCATGTCCTCAACCAAGAAATTTTATTGTGTTTGTTTTTAACATCTGAAAGGGCTGAGGGCACAGAAGTAAATTACATACAGTGGTCGGCCAAGTCGAATGTGGAGAGACCGGCGTCGGCGTACCAGAGCATGGCCTCAACGGCGTCGTCTCGGTCGATTCTACCCCAGCCGCCGCTGGTCTGCCACATCCCGTTGAGCACTCTGCATATCTCGAGCGAGTCATTTCCGTTCTTCACCACCGTTTTCCGCGCCTCAGATGCAACCTCGACAGCTGTCTCGCAGCAGCGTACGGCTCGCCAGTTTGCTCTCTTCGACCACCGGAATCCACCGCTGCCGATGGTTTGGGGACGAAAACTGTGCGAATTTGAAATAAATTGGTGAACTGTTATAGCAGTAGCTGCCATTGTCAGACCTTTTGCATTCGCCGGGTGTTAATATTTGGTGGCTATCATCATTTTAATTTGGGGAAAGGTCGTTTTATTTATGTTGATAAGGGTTCATTTCAAGCTGATATCGGTTTTGTACCGTCAATTCAATACAAGCCTCGTTTGCTTGCCTAGGTGTAACGCTGTTAAATTAAGCTTTGCTCGAGTTTGATTCATTAAGATTCGGCTCGAACTTGAGCTTATTTAAAGCTTGTTTGGTTAACGAGTCGATTTCGACTCGATTGGATAAAGTTCGTTAAGATTCGAAAATAGAATTTATATATAAAATTTTTATAGTTTAGCTCGTTAAAGCTTGAGATCGGCTCTTTAAAGCTTTAACTTGACTCATTAATAGTAATAAACGAGGCGGGCTCGAGCTCGATTTACTTAGCGAGTCGAGTTCGGCTCGACTTGTTAAGAGCTCGAGCTCGATCAAGCACCGTAAGCTCAAGTTCGGCTCGACTCATTTGTAGGCCTACCTAGATGTCAAGGGATGCCACATTACCGAATCCTCTTGCGGGTCGGCTTGCGAGCCGTCCCGCGACAACCTTCAACCGCTCAACATGTTCAAGCCCTTAGGGTAGGACGCTAAACTTATTTGGGTAGCTTTGGAAATAAGCTCGTTGAAATTTTTATTTCAGCAGACTTATTTGTTAATTTTACAAAATACTTTTATCATATGAGCTAGCTTTTCAGTCATATGCTATCAGCTATAAGCTTGAAATTTACTTATAAACGATCAGCTATAGGCTAGTTTTATCCAACATAATCCTTGTAAATGATAGATGTCTGTAGATTCATTGTGCATTTCCCAACTTTTGAATGGTCACTAGCATGTGATCACGTTGTGTCTTTAAGCCCTTTATGGGGAAATAGGTTTTAAAACGAGTTTGTAATTGCATTATCCTCTCCGAAAAATTCAGTAATCGTTTGGCTAATCGATACAATTTGAGTTCCAATTCAATTCTTTGTGTTCCGTTGTGCCACTATAAGCGTCCTACGCTTGATTGCGTCGCATCAGTACAAACTCTCGTACGAGCTCAGGCGGACTTAGTCAAAGGATTCGATCGCCAGTCGCACGATGCGTGATCTTCGTCAACTCACTACGAGCGCCCCGTGACGGTTGGTAGAGCCTCGACTCTTGATCTATTGGAGCGAGGTAGGCTGGTGGGAGAATTCATAGAAGTTGTGACAAATAATATGCGTGCTCTAAATTCTGCGAACGCGGTCGAACTAATATGCTTGCTAGAAAATTGTGTTCTGGAGTCTAGGCCCGGACGCCCAAACGGCTTCATTGGAGGTGGGAGTGGAGAACCTTCAGGATAGAGCTGTAAACGAGCTGAGCCGAGCTCGATCTCGGCTCGTTAAGGCCTCGAGCTCGAGCCGATCTCGAGCTTTAATGAGCCGAACTATAAAAAATTATATAAAATTATATTTTCAAACCTTAACGAGCCCTACATATTGAGCCGAGGTCGTTATCCAATCGAGCTATAAATGAGCTCGAGCTCGACTCGTTAAGACCTCGTGCTCGAGGCGAGCCGAACCAGGCTCGTTTAATTGAACAGTACTATTTCAGGACCAATTGGCGGAGAGCAAAGTGACATGTCGGTTCCTTACCGACACGTCGAAAACATTAAATTTGACAGAATTGAGGCGTGACATGGGAACCATGTCCCTTCAAATTGGCTTGCTATACAATGATAATAATCATGTTCCCTGAAGCATATACAATTAGGCTAGATTTTCATCAAAAAAATCTTGAAAGATGATTTTTAGAAGTAATTATGTTTCTAAATTAAAAATTTGAAAATCTATGTTTAAAAAAAAAATCATAAACGAGACAATAAGTGGGAGAGATGAAGAGATATTGAGGAAGTCGGTGGGGGCCTAGATATGTTTGATATTTTCCGTTCCATGATTTTTTGTTGTTGTAAATAACTTAATTAAATGATACAATTACTAAAATAAACTAAGCAATAAAATATTTATGATATAAATAAATATTTAACCTAGAAAGATATAATAAGCATGGAGCAACTTACCACCTCACCGTAGCCTAATCCTACAAGAATTTGGCTATACCAATCTAACCACACTTCAACCCCCAAATTATTCTGACAATCTTCAAACAATATACAAATCCTACAAGAATTAAGAAATGACCTATACAATATCCTAAATCCTAATCCTACATGAATTTGTATTTTTTCTCTCTCCTTATATATATATATATATATACCTTTGGAACTTCACCCAGTAAATAGTAATACAAGAATTTCTTTAAATATTTTCCTTTCTTTACGTTTCTTTCTTGTTGAGCGGTTTCATGGAGAAGAAGAAGAGTGACAATCTGATGCTTATGGTGCGATATGCACACGAAGAAATCTTCGATCACGCCGTAATCTCAACCAAAAACAACCGCTTCCAAGTGGTTCGAGACAAAGTTCATAATTTACTCAGAGGCAAAAAGTATAGCAACTATTGCAAAGCGAATTATTACGTTGAAGCGAGTTGCAACACGTGGCTGCTCCTGTCTTCTGCATCATTAAGCCTTAATCATCCAACGGACCTTATGTGGAACCCTACAACTAACGAGACGAAGCCCCTTCTTCCTTTCAATGCGGCGCTCACAAATTTCACAGAGGTTTGGGCTTATGGGATTGGGCCCGACCCGTCTTCTCCCGACGACTCTTATAAGGTGATTAGGTGCCGCTTGGAATTAGGCTGTAGTTCACCCGATGTAATCTATGCCGAGGTGCTCTCGCTCCGTAATCGTGGGAGGACGACAATTCCGTACCCTTTTCAAAATAGTTCTCTCGAGCCCTTACGCGGCCAATCTCTTTACCTGAACGGCTTCTATTACTGGCTAGCTTCGTCGGGTATTGATGATTTAACAATTATGTCTTTCGATTTTGCGAATGACGAGTTTTCAGACGCTCTCATCCCTATGCCGGAGACTCCTAAGATCAACAACTGCCGCAGCACTTTTTCATCATTTTTTCGCTTTCCTGTTGTTCTTGCCGAGTTCAATGGGTCACTTGCTGTTGTTGTGGAGGATTTTGTTGAAGATTTAAATAAGGTTTTGAATTTCGAGATTTGGGTGTGGGACGGCAGCTGGTCTCGGGTGTCCAGGTTCGATGTACCGGCTGCTGCTTCTGCTAGTAAGGTTGTGGGGTTGTATAAGAATGATAAAGTGTTGCTTGAGGACACGAAAGGGGATTTACTGCTTTACCATTGTGAGACGCTCGAGTGGGAGAATTTGGGTATTAATGATGATTCTAAGTCTCTGTTGGTCTATCCTTATGTTGAGGCTACTCGTTCTTGGGCAGATGTTGTCCGCCAAAAGCACTAGTACTCGATCCACCACTTGTTTGCTCATGGCCTGATTGATTTTCTAGTTATCCATTTTTATTTTTTTTATTAGGTTTTCCAGTGAATATATTATAAATCTTTTGCAATGAGAAATTATGGCTTGAGAAGTTATGGCTGATCAAAATGTTGAAGCAAATGAGAGCTCGTAGAGTGAATGCTTCCTTGGCATCTTTCCTGATTAACTTGTGCTTATTTGTAGTTGATATTTCCGTATTATTGCTTTTCATTATTTAGGGTGTGATTGGATAAGAATTTGATTGATTATTTTTTTTTTTTTTTTGTTAACCATAGTTAATTTTTGAAAAATGTGGTATGACCAGTTATTATTGAAAATTTATATTTAAAATATAATAATATTTAAAATAAAATAATTAAAGTTGATTTGATATACAATAGGAGAAATAATGATTGTAAGTGATGGTAGTTAAAATTATGTGAGTGAATGAATAGTTAATTACTTAATTAAAGTTTGATGTGATATATAAGAATAACTAATTGATATTATTTAATCATATTGGTAATATTAAGGATAATGGTGTTGAGTTTAGTTAAATTTGAGTTTTGATTAGTCAAATTTATATCCAATCAAACACTTATCCATCTCAAAACCCTAATTACCAAATATGACATTCAAATTCGCATCAATTTCCACCCCCGACACCATTCCAAAAACAAAATCACAAGACAAAAACGATTTAATCAAACCCAACAATTTAATCCCTTCTAAACATTTCTACGGTCAGTGCTCACAAACCAAGCTATCGATTGCCACACAAGCACCACATAAAAACACGAATGTACTTTTTTTTTAAATTTTTTTATTTGAAATCCACCACATGTTTTAAAACACGAATGTACTTATGTATACATGTATGCATACAGACCTCTAAAAACCTCTGACGAGGATCAGTTTATTTCTCACCAAGCAGCTCTCACTCAGGGGAAAGAGAGGAAATTGTCGTTTTTTTGAGTGAGAGCTGTTTGGTGAGAAATAAATTGATCCTCGTCAGAGGTTTTGAGCAGTGGATTTGCTCTTGCACAGAAGTGGATAGTTGGTAAGGTAACTGTTCTGTTCTTGGACTGGAGACTGATTTTGGAAAGACAAAAGTATGGTAAATGGGATGAGGATTATTAACTGACAGGAGAAATTGGCCGTGAAAGCAGGAGGATAAAAGAATGGATTAGCTGTTTCGTAGGTGTTAAAGCTGTCAATGCCTCTTGGGAAAGAGTTTAGATTGGAGATTACTCCACAGCCATCTGCATACAACTTGTAGAATGATTTATGTCAAATGGCCTGTACACTCGGCTGAGCTTGTTGGATCTTAGCATGTAACAATATTTCGATCAGAAATGAAGAATCTAAAGTAAATTTAGTTTTTCTTTTTTCATTTTTTGTAAACATTATTTCTTCAAGGTTGTTGTTCCATTCCAAGGAGGACAGCACGTAGTTCAAGTTTAGTTCAAAAGAAAGTTGTCTCTGTTAAGAAAAATAATACTGTTGCCTCATCTAAACCTCCAAAAGCATTTGTTGGGAAGAAGAAAACGCAATATGGGACATGCCCTTTCATTGTTCCTTTTTGGGATGAATACAATCCGGTGTACAAAGGCTTTGAGACATGGTTCTGTTTCTAAGCCCTAAGACTTTTATCCTATTCATTTTTTATGTTGATTTATGTCAAAATTTCATGAATCATGATTATCAATTATTTTAGTACTTCATTAGGTTAATTCATTATAATAAAAGATCATCGTCCTTGAAAAATGTGTTTGATTTTAATATCATGACGATTGATGATAAGTCTTGGCTTCTGAAGTTGGATATGTGCCATGTATTTTTAGCATCCAGTGTAAGTACATGCTTTTTTTTTTTCCTCATGGTTACTTACTTGTTGTCTTGTTTATTGTTATTTATTTTTTTTCTTTCTATTTGCAACATATTGAAGTCCTTTTTTACTACCTTAGAAAGATGGACATTTCATTTTATTCCTATTGTTGTCGAGCGTGTTACTACCACGGATCAGTAAGTACATCAGCAATGCATATGATAAGTTTCTCTTCCAATGGTTCTCATTATGTGAATAGCTCTCAATCTAAAATCATTGACTATATGTTCGGTTTCAAGCTTATATGTGGGACCAATTGGAACCTAGTTGATCCTGTTTTATTCCCCCATTCATACTTGCATTTATGGTGTTGGACATTGGATTCTTGGGAGAGATAAACGAACGTTGTTTGTATGTTTACAATAGCTTAGATCTCCTGAAATTGATGAAGAAACTAGAAAGTTGGTGGCATGCTACTCTGTTTTGTTAGCTACTTTCCTCATTTTGATTGGTCTGGAAGGATGGACCTACGTAAGGGTGATGGTCCATATTCTAAGAAGAATATAGGCTTATTTAAATATTTACTATAGTGATTGTTAAATAATTGTAAAAGTACTAACTCAACAGCTTATTTGCAAATATATCTTATTGATCATAAAAAAATTATATTAACACCAGATTGTTGAAACGGTTGAGAGAGAGAGAAAAACTTTAAACATACTTACGAGATTCCATAAGTTACGGGATTTTTCCCATAAATAAATAAAAAAAAAAATATTAAGCTAGATAGAGAATCAAGTTGAAGATAGATTCATAAAAAAACAGCTTTTTCAAAATTGAATTCTAAAACACTAAACAAAATCGTGAAGAAGGAAAAAAAATCATATCGTCGCAATCACGATGGAGCTGCGTTCCAGGTTTAAGGTAAATATTTACATTTTTTTTATTAAAACATTGGTTGAAATAGTTTTTTTTTTTAAATATTGTTTTTATAAGTTGCTGGAAAAATACCTGTTGAATATATAATAAAATTAATATTATTAGCAAAATTTCAAACTATTTTATTTAAATTAAACGAATAAAATAACGAATAAATAAAATTTAAACACCTTAACATCGTGAAAGATGAACTCCAGCCTGCTTATGCTCTCTTTGTTTGATTTGTAAAATCATGGATAATTTCTGACCAAACGAAGATTTGCGGTCTTGTTCTTATTTTTTGCCAAGTATATGTCAAATTATCAACTTGGGGGCTCATGCTAATTGTTGAAAAACAAATAAAAAAAAATAAAAATTGGAGGATGTTTTGGATCATGTTACTTCAGCTAGAGTTGGAATGAGTGTTTCTGAATAATTATTTGAGTACCTATATATAGGGTTGAGTTCACATGAGAATGACTCTTAATGTGAGAAATATGAATAAATCATAACCATTAGATTAGATGATCTGGCAAAAAAAAAACAAAATTATATATTCATTAAGGGTAATGTAGTAATTTTTATCACCATATCAACAAAGTGGACCCCACTCCACATTAACACATGTGCAACTCTACCCACGTGGGTCAAACCCCAATATACTCATTCAACTCACATATCCCCACCCACTATCACCCATCCCCCAGCCCCCCCCACCCCAGCATCTCTCTCACACACGACACACACACCACACGCGTATCACACACTCGCTCGCTGGAACAGCTCCGCCGCCTCCCACCTGTCTCCGCCCATCATACACACACACAGACATCTAGCACACAGACACAAAACAACATCCGTACACACACACCTTGCTCGGCACTCTTAAATCCGACCACCACACACAAAACCGCCGCAACCACTAAACCAGTCGCTACCGCCGGAAGAACGGAAGACGACGCCGACGTCCTGAAAACTGGAGTTGCGATCAGAAATTTCATGTCCGAACGGCGCTCAACATCTCCTTTGGCAGCGTGTCTGATTGCTCAATCCCGATCGGCGCTCGACAATCTCCGTCGGAGCTGAAAAATTCGGCCGCACGCACAATGACCATAAAAAGCCGACGATTGTCCGACTACAGGGAGCCCGGCGATTGTCTGACCATGGTTGCACCATCAATTGCCGTCGACCCTGTCCAAGCAACTCAATTCACGATCTGGCATAGGGGGAGAGATATTTAGAATTGGGACTTTTCTGTTTTTTTTTTTTTTTCTAAACGATATCAATAACATTACTAAGAGAAAGGTACAAAAGATCGGCCGAAGGCTGAATAGCCTAATGTTACAACCCAAAGAACAGAGACCTTCCAATGAAGGTCTAGACTCCCTAATCAACAAACAACAAGATCATGAGACTAACAAACAAAGACTAGCACAGTTAATGGCAGCAAACTGAAAACCATAACCGCAACAAATACAAAGATAATACAGCCATAAACCTATTGGCAACACAACCATAATCCGACCTACAAGTACACAGATAAACTCCAGCAGGAACACAGACCAAACTAAGAACAAAGAAATAAGGAGACACCACTGAACCAAACAAAGGACCTAGTGATCTTCTTAGCATCAATGCTACTCAGCTTTCAGTCTGCAATTTTTGAACTCCAGCCAGTCAAGTTGTGCGGTCCTAAGAATGGCATTATCCGGCATCCAAGTGGCTTCAAACTTCCAGAGATTCCGAGCCTTCCAAAGCCACCATAATATGTAAGTTGTCAACTCAATTCGAGCTTCGGAAACCTCTCTCTTGTCGACAGAACAAGCAGTCCACCACCATTGTTTAAAAGAACCTGCATGCATGTCCCCAAACCAGTTGACTGGTGCCATCTGCCAAATTCTCTTTGCTCTATCACAGTGAATAAGCACATGCTCCACTGATTCCCAGTCCTCGCCACAGCAACAGCATTTAGGATCCACATCAAGGCCTCTTTTCTTCAAGTTCAGACAGGTTGGAAGAGTATTTGTGTAACACTTCCAAATGAAGTGTTTGAGTTTTTGCTTAATCTTCAACTTCCAGCTTCTGTTTCTGGTGTGCTTTTCCACTTGGGCTGAGGTACTGCTTTCAGCCAGGTCAAGTTCTCTGAGCTTGTTGAGGACTAAATGCGAGTAAGAACTAGCCACTGAAAACTTGCCTTTTGTATCCAAAGTCCATATCCATTTATCAGCCAGCAAAGGGTCCAGGGATTTGATGTTCAAAATAGCCTCCACATCAGATGGGTGAAAGCACTCATTGAGCAAGTTTATGTCCCAGTGTTTTCCATCATCAAGAATCAGCTCCTTAACCCAAGTGACCCTAGTAATCCCATGCTCATTTCTGATTGGCAAACCACAAGCATTTCCTGCCAACCATGGATCCTGCCATATATTAGTATGCCTCCCCTGTCTAACCTCTACCCTAAAGCAGCCTCTGAATTTATCTCTAAGTTGCTCCACAGCCAAGAGGTGTTATAAGGCTTTTCTGCTTGCAATACAGAGCAGTCATGAAAATACTTGCCTTTCAAGACTCTTGTCATGAGTAAGTTGGGATGAGTTGTAACCCTCCAAAGCTGCTTGAGTATCAGAGATTCATTGAAGAGCTCCACATCTCTAAAACCAAGACCACCAACATCTTTAGGCATTGTGACACAAACCCACCTTTTCCAATGAACCCCAGGCTTCAGATCCCCTTTACCCCACCAGAACCCAGCTGACAATTTGGAAATCTCCTGGCAAACACCTTTTGGCAGGCAAAAACAAGACATGGAGAAAACAGGGAGGGCTCCCAGCACTGCTTTCAGTAAAACCTCCTTCCCAGCATTTGACAGAAATTGATTCTTCCAGCTACTCATTCTATCTCTCACAGCCTTCAGGATGTAGTCAAAGGATTCTTTCTTAGATCTACCAATACCTAGTGGCAATCCTAGGTATCTGGTAGATCTATGAGATTGAATATTCCCCAGTAAATTACAAATCAAAGCTCTATGAACTGGCAGACAATTCCTACTGAAGAAGATAGAGGACTTGCCTAAATTAACTTTCTGACCGGTGAATCTCTGATATTGGAGCAACAAAGACATAAGAATTCTAGCATGCTTATCATCAGCCTCACACATAATCAAAGTATCATCTGCAAACATTAAATGGGACACTGCAGGGCAATTCTTGGCAATTTTCAAACCCTTGAAGGCACCCTTTCTCTCCTCATTGATAATAAGCCTAGAGAACACCTCAGAAATTATAATAAAAAGATAAGGTGAGATGGGATCACCTTGTCTGATGCCTCTGGTAGCAGATATGTAACCCTTCAGCTCTCCATTGATATTGAAAGAATAAGTTGTGGAGGAGATGCAAGCCCAAATCCAGTTCACAAACACAGGGTGAAATCCCATCTTCAGCATAACCTTTCTAACACTCTCCCATTCAATTCTATCAAAGGCTTTCTCCATATCAAGTTTCAGCAGCATAAAGCTTTTCCTTCCAGATACATGCCTATTGAGAAAATGAACACTTTCCTGCGCAATCACACCATTGTCCAATAGCTGCCTTCCAGGGATGAAGGCAGCCTGATTTTCACTGATACAAGCTGAGAGACAAGGCTTTATTCTCAAAGATAAGATCTTAGCAATTACTCTGTAAGCTACTCCACAAAGGCTAATTGGTCTATATTGTCTCAAGTTTGCAGGATTCAAGCATTTGGGAATAAGAGATATTACAGTGTGATTCCAGCTCTTCAAGATTTTACCCGATTCAAAGAAGCTAAGAATAGCCTTGCAGAAATCATCAGAGATTACATCCCAGAATTTTTGAAAGAAAAGAGGATTCATACCATCCTGACCTGGAGCTTTTCCAGAGTCAAAGATAAATAAGGCAGCCTTAATTTCTTCTCTTGTGATTGCTGCAGTAAGTGTGGAATTCATCTCAGGAGTGATGGTCTGTGGAATTAAGTGCAGGAGATCATTCCCTCCAAAAGAACCTTCTGAGCTGAATAGGTGTTCATAAAAGGTGCAGATGTGAAGCTTTATCTCCTCTTCATTGTTGTATTCCTGGTTGAAGTCATCCACAAGGTATGAGATAGTATTCGATTTCCTTCTCTGCATGGTCACTGTATGGAAGTATTTGGAATCTGAGTCCCCCTCTCTTAGCCACTGAGATCTTGCTTTTTGGGCCCAGAACACTTCCTCGGCTTTGGTCACAATGTCCAGCTCTTGTTTAATTCTGTACCATTTCTCCCAATCTCTACTG